AGAAAGAAAGAAAGAAAGAAAGAAAGAAAGAAAGAAAGAAAGAAAGAGAGAGACAGCAGAAGAAGAAGGAAAGAAGGAAGGAAGGGAAAAAATCCAGGTTCCTAAGTAGGAAAAGTTCTTTGCAGTCAACTTTTGCATAGAGTAGAACTAAGTCCCAAGGTCCTACTGGGAAACATGGCGTCTCTCACCTCGCTGCTCCAGAAGTAGATTTAGAAATTTATTTTTCTAAATTTTTTTAAAAAAGCATCTTGAATGTTTTGCCTGCATGTATGTCTTCGCGCCGTGCACACGCACTGCGCATTAAAACCAAACGCAGAAGTCGTCTCACCCAAAACTGAAGTTATAGACAATTACAAACTTCCACGTGGATGCTGGGAATTGGACCTAGTCCTCTGGAAGAGCAGCCGATGCTCCTCACCGCTGAGCCATCTCTCCAGTCCCCGCCTCATCTCTGATACTGAACCTCCCTAATTGCCAGCCCGCACTGAGCTAGGCCTGCCCGTGTGTCTTACAGGCCGCCGCACTCGTCCATATCTACACGGACGGGTCTGTGTTGGTCGCACACGGAGGCAATGAACTGGGGCAAGGGATCCACACCAAAATGCTACAGGTAACGTCAATAAAACCCAGCCATCCATCTCTCCACACACTGTGTCCATGGCTAAGGCAGACGATGACGGTCCATTCAAATTAAAAGACCTGCACGAGTTGAGAAAGCTTCTTGCATATAAACTACGGTGGACAATGTGACAGAAATCCCATCCGTACACAAATGCTCCAGGAACTTGGCCAGGTCTGGGAGGTGGAAGGGGTTATTAGTAAACCCACCACTCATGATCCTGCAGAACGCCAGTATAGATCACACACACACACACACACACACGCGCACACACACGCACATATGTGCTAACAGAGAATTGGAGACGGCAAATGATTCAACTTGCAACATCCGGTAACCTCCCCTCCCCCCCCCTCCTTCTTTCTTCCTCTTTTTCTTCTTCCTTCCTCTTCTTCTTCTTCTTCTTCTTCTTCTTCTTCTTCTTCTTCTTCTTCTTC